TACTGTACTGTATAAATTTAAGCTGTCACTACATTTCTCCATAGATCTGAACTGTCACTACAGTACTGTATAGATGCAAGCTGTCACCACATTTCTTCATAGATCTGACCTGTCACTACAGTATTGTATAGATGCAAGCTGTCACTACATTTCTTCATGGATCTGACCTGTCATTACATTACTGTATAGATGTAAGCTGTCACTACATTTCTCCATAGATCTGAACTGTCACTACAGTACTGTATAGATGCAAGCTGTCACCACATTTCTTCATAGATCTGACCTGTCACTACAGTATTGTATAGATGCAAGCTGTCACTACATTTCTTCATGGATCTGACCTGTCATTACAGTACTGTATAGATGTAAGTTGTCACTACATTTCTCCGTAGATCTGACCTGTCATTACAGTAATGTATAGATGCAAGCTGTCACTACATTTCTTCGTAAATCTGACCTGTCACTACATTTCTCCATCGATCTGAACTGTCACTACATTTCTCCATCGATCTGACCTGTCACTACAATAATGTATAGATACAAACTGTCACTACATTTCTTCATAGATCTGACCTGTTACTACAGTACTGTATAGATGCAAGCTGTCACTACATTTCTCAGTAGATCTGACCTGTCACTACAGTAATGTATAGATGTAAGCTGTCACTACATTTCTCCGTAGATCTGACCTGTCATTACAGTACTGTATAGATACAAGCTGTCACTACATTTCTTCATAGATCTTACCTGTCACTACAGTACCGTCCTCGTTTTCACTGTGATACCCCTGAATGTAACTGAACAAATTGATCTTTAATCTAACCTAGTACAGTGAAAAGATGTAAAATGGTAGGACACATAGCGAATTTATTACTTCCTTCACAAACATTATGTTTGCTTTCATTATTCCCATCAGCTATAAAACCTGCCTCTGGGCTGCATGGCAATAAATTAATAGGTCCATAAATACATCTTACGCGTATAAAACTTAATAACAATAACGTCTAATTGACAATACATAATTAGTTTGTATAATAAAGTCCAAACGCATCGTGACACGCTCATTAAAACATAACATGCATAGTATGGTTTCTATAAGAATTTGCATTGTAAAGAGCTAACATAATCAAACATATTTTTCATTTTAGATTACACATGAAATGTTAAGGTTTGCCTTTCTACGTTTTCAGGTTTGAAAACCTATTATGTATTGAAGCGTGGTGCAGATTACGCACATTGCACATTACACACGTTAGGTGGATGGCAGGTTATCTCTTTAATTATATTTGACAGATCTAAAAAAAGTCGTCCGATTACGTCTAATATGATGATTACGTTAGTTGTCTGCCACATGATGTGATTTCCAATCATTCATAACTCGCAAGCTACAACCTATCTGCGTACAGAAGTGGCCCGATTAAATTGCTTAATTTATTGGATTGACTTGTAGCAGTGATCGCGTAAAGTAAATCTAGTACGCTCATCCTACTTTATATCATTTAAATATTTTGTTTTCAGTTCATCTTATCCTCAGAATTCTTCCGCAGTGTATCGACAGTTTCGTTACGAACACGCAACCATTAATACAACTTAACTAAGTTGTGCGTGAGCATCAATGTAACATTTCTCCATCATTTGTTAGTTTAATCACCGATTGTTCTCATTGTTGTGTTAACACATACATTTGAACTACACTAACATAAAACCTCTTTTGTCTCCATGTCCTGATTGCTCAAAGTGTTAGCAGTTAAGCAAGGATCTATGATGAATTTGTTTTTGCGTATCTGTTAATCGACTTAATTAGATGAATGGCTGTGTTATGTCTGTCATCGTTTAGGCAGGCGAGGTCCTGGACGGAACTCGACTCAGTGATTTGGAACTAATTGCGAGATAACCGTCGCTATTCGGACTACTATTTCTGACAGTTGGTATTCGTAGTTATTAATGTCGTGCACGATTAATCAAAAGATATGACGTATTCAGTACTTAGTGTGATTGGCTTTATGATTGAAGGTTACGCCTTAGAGTCTTTTTACTGTATTGTAATTGGTTAAGATTTTGAAAATGAATAAAGTTGTTTTAGTTGGTCTTGGCGAGTACAGCACGACAGACGAAGTCCAGTCCAGTCCTGGAGAATCTTGGGCGAATCTTGAGTCAGCCTTGCAATAGTCTTGAGGACTTTTCCCCAGGGCGCTGTGTCTTATAGAGTGCTCAAAAGACCAACTAAGACGAGAGTTGAAACGTATTTCGTTGTGTGTGTCTTATTTGACTGAAAAGCTTAAACCTCTTATTCTGCCGCTCAAACGGATGTCCGCAGTGCATACATGAATCTGTAGCAGATGTGTAATCGATTCAGTGTAATTATTCGTGGAATCCCCACCCACAGTGAAGTTAGTGGTTGATCTAATCCTCATCCGACCGAACGAAAATGGTTGCCACCGGAGTTTCGTAAGGTCTAGCAATCTCAAATTCGGTAATACGACATGAGGCCAATCGATCTTAACTTCTGGATGTCGCCTCGTGAGTGTTTAATTTTAAAATATTATCGATCAATGGTTGTCCCTTGATGTGATATGGGAAAATAGTGTTACGTTATCGCCCGAAACGCGTGTAAAAAGTTACCGATATTCCCTCTGTAGGACGAATAGATTGGAAGTGTCAGATTATTATATATATGTATATACATCAATTCTTATAATATATTTGCCAAATGTTTGGTAAGAGCGCCCTCTATGTCGGAATCGAATAAGTATGAACCACCAATTTGACAGGGAAGTGATACTTATAATGCAGCACGCTGTTTTAATTGTTGTTGTGATAGAGTTTTTTATATTACCCAGTCAAATGCATTTGTTGGTCCACTAAAAAATCAAAATAATGTTTCCCTGTAACTTGGACGCTTATTAATCAAGACGTTTTAAAAATCATGGGTATAAACTCCCTTAAGTTATAACCCGTTGTTTCTTATAAAATAATGTTTGCATCAAAAATTAAAATAAAGATCCTAGAAGTTAGTATTTATATGCCTGTGTTTTGTGTGTGTGTGTTTTATTTATTTATTTTTTATTTTTTGCAATGTCTCTAACTTGTCTAATATGTTTGTGGTCATTCCTTGCTTTGCATATTGTCTGTATCACCGTTCTCGTGGGTTTGTGATGTAAAGCCGTGACTGCTGTTCAGGGCGTTGCAGCTGGCAGACATAAGCTATGCTCTTGTACATAATCGTGGAGAGTTCGTCATACTCACA